TATTATTAATATAAAATGTAAATTAAATTGTATATAGTTAGATAGTAGTAAATTAAATATGTATTAAGGGCTATGAATATTTGGGTACCTAAATAGCTATGCATATTCATATATCAATTTAATAGCGGATAATCGCTATCACTATGTTAATTACATTTCAAGAATACATTATTCATCACTCACAATTATCAAATTCATTGATGTTTTGTTCGATTGCAATCAGCTCAATGTGCGCTGAAACAGTTTGGTCGGGTTTATTTAGCTAGTATTTTGGTAGACTTTAAGATTAATTTCATGAAATAAACACAGTGTGTGCAACAGTGTTTACCATTCGTACATGCACATGCGCATGCATGCATGTGTTTGTGTTTGTGTTAAGGGCTTATTGTATCTGCGAATGTGAAAGGACAACAACTGTGCAGTTGAACGGACTAACCGCGGGTACTGCAATAACCACAACAAATGCAACAACAACAACAACAACAACAACAGCGGCAGCATTGGCAATAACAACAACAATAATAACAACAACAACAGTGGCCACAGACACAACCGAAAAACAAAAGGCCTGGCCAAAAGAGTAAATACATATACAACGATGTGGTGTATGTGTGTGTGTGTGTGTGTGTGTGTGTGTGTGTATTTACGCGTGTGTGCGCCTGTGCCCAGCAGATGCGTCAAAATGAACGGAAATTGGCTTAAAAATGACAACAGCATTGTGACAACAGCAACAACAACAAAAACAACAACGCCAACAATGAGATCAGCAAATATCAAATGATACTATATTTTTTTTTTCTTTCTGCACGTGGGCAGTTTCATGAGTTGTAATGCGCAGATAATTAACATAAATCGAAAAATACATTGAATTAAAATTATTCGAGCAGATATATAATATATATTATATATTGAAGTCAACAGATTCATAAGGCACAAATGCAAATATGGCCAGGTGGAGCCTAGATATATGCCTATATCACTCAGCATACATACATAAATGTGTGTAAATATATTTAATTTGATTGCATTGCAGCTATAGTGCTTACATTTTGTTTGCACCTTTGCAACATTTGAAATATGTGAAAATTATTCGCTGACAGTTTTAGGATTTTTCTCTCTTTGCTGTTTGGTGGTTCAAGTGGTGCATTGACTTTTGCACATTATGAGCTTAAAATTGATACGGCGTATGCGTGATGCTGCTATAACGTATGCTGGCCGCTTTCCGCTGCGGACTGTTTGGGGTCCTTTGAGCCATGTGCCTGGGTCTCGTTTTTCCTGTGGGCATCATTTGCACAAAAATTGCAAATGCTGCCGCCAGCGGGCGCCGGACAACAAAAACCATGTGCGGACAAAAAGTTAACTGGCATTTTAGTTTTTCAGTTGGTTTTCAATTGTCCAACATGCATGCTTTAAAACTGACATTTTCAATCTTCTCTCTTTTTTTTCAGCTTGTCTGTTGATCAAGTGCTTGTAGTATGCATGATACCAGTGTACGCTCATAGAGCTTGATGCCTGTGCTTAACTCAATTGTTTAAACTCTGTCGCAGTTGTTAGCTATTAAAAAGTGACTTTTAGCCAGAGGCTTTGCGATGTTGTCGACTGTGTCAGTTAGGAAATTGAATTTCTATTTTGTTTGTGCACAATATTTTATAACAATTCAATCAAAATTCAACTGAATTTATTGTATACAGTTTATGGTATTATGTATTTCATATACAGTTTATGGTTTTATGTATTTGATTAAATTCTTTTGCATTTTTACTCCAAATACAAGCTATATACAATAGTAGATATGTTTTGACTTAATTTGAGTATGCCAACTGTGGAAATGGCCGACAGCATTCCCAGAAATTAATATACATTTGATGCTCTTTCCCGAGTTATTTATTTATTTTTTTAATAATTAAATAATTTTATATTCTTTCAATTGTTAATTCAGATTTTTTCAGTTGCTTTCTTTTCTGCTTTTAAAAACATTTATCTTTGATTCACTTATATAAATAATTTCTATTTTATATGAAAATACTTGAATAAAATGTAAATGAATACGGAAAACCACAAAAATTATAAATTGAAATTTAGGTTTTCTTGTTATTAAATTTTTAATAATATAGATATTTTTTATAT